TTACTACTCTCTCTCTCTCTCTCTTTCTCTCTCTCTCCCTACTCTCACACACACACACGCAACGGGGCACACATTGGTCTCTCACATGAAAACCTCTAAAATTCACTCAGCTGTATGAGGAGTTATTCATGCCATGCTGAAAGCTGCGCATTAGCTGGAGAAAAGCACTTGAGTGGAGTCATGCTCTAAATGGATCCCACAAGCCACTCTTCAAGTAGGTGTCTAATAAATAATAAACAACTAAAAATGCCTCTAAACTAATAATAATAAATTCACTAGTAACCTAGAAGTCAAAGCACAGGATGGGCAAAAATCCAGTGGGCCTTGTCTGCTGGTTAGAATCAGGGATGGAAATTAACACCGGCCTCCCACCTGAGGGGGCAACATTACATGTTCAATTCATGTTACTTGTGTTTGATTGGCTAGATTTGTAAAGGGGTGGGCGTTAAGAGAATGGACAAGAGTCGGAGGGAAAGAGGGGAGAGTGAGAGTGAAGCTGATTTCATATGGAGATCAAGCTGAAAGAATATCTGCATATATGTCGCATTCGCATCTTCATACTGAACTAAAGTAGCGTCCCGCTTTACCGGAACCAGCGGCGTGTAAATAGACTTACGTGTAACACAAAACCAGCACAACGACTGTGGCTTTTCACACAGATCGTCCGGTCTCTCACTCTCGTCCCTGTCACCTACTTTCCAAGCTCAGAGGCGGATAAAATCAGACCCCCCTTTCCTGTTATATACCTTTCATACAGTGCAGCGAACCGGCAGATTACCCCATGAAAACATTTACTGTTATGTCTTAAGTAGTTAATAATATCATCTACCAGCCACTTTGGCAGGTGAGCCAAAAAGTTAATTTCCACCCCTGGTTAGAATAGAAGGATTATTGTTTTTTAGTTAGCCTATCAAATACAGTACTACTTATCCCAGCAGGGAACCCAATTATTATTTAATACATTTTTTTGTGGTTGTCAAATGTATCTTTGGAAATACATTCCTGACTTTTCACTCTAATTTGATAGGAAAGTACACATTTATGGTGTGTCACATAACAACGAGTGTTATGTGAAACACCATATAAATGTTGAATATCCGAATCAGATGTGTAAACTATTGTCATGTTAAATACAGCGATACAACATGTGACAACTGGAGGGCGATCCAGCCTGATGCGTGCCTTAGCCCCATCCAGCTGCCCCCCATATCACACTGTCTTTGTCCGAACACATGCCTTAGCCCCATCCAGCTGCCCCTCATATCACATTGTCTTTGTCCAAACGGCTCACTTGACAACTGATTCTCCTCAAATGGAAAAACAGCAAACTCTTTTCTCAAAACACTACAAACATCAGTTAAGCACATCCGAGGAGTGGGTGTGTGACCTGGTGAAGAAGTGTAGCATTTTGATTGGTTGTGTTTTCAGAAATTAGAACAGGTTGCAGCTATCTAATGACTGTTTCAGTCTTACAGTATTGTACTGTAAAATATATATTTTACTGCAACATCTGTAGCTCTAAGCCATCCATTCACTGCACTGCATTGTATGAATGAGGTTGGTTGTCATGCTGTACTACAATATTTTGTGCATTTTTTACAGTAACTAAATTGCACACCCTCACACTGTTGAATTCTCTACAGAGTGGAAATGTTTACACACACACACCAATTTGTTCTTCATTCTAAAAAGGATACTTTTGGGTTATATATGTTTATGGTTTTTCGTTTCTTATATGCTACTGTGTACAACACCTTGCTGTTGTTAAAACAGTTATGTTTTGCCAAGTAAATATTTTCTGTTTCAACACTGCATTGGTGTTTACAGTGTTCTTTTCAGCACCTCTCAGCAGATTACTTTCACTCTAGAACAATGTATGGAAATGTACACATAAGCCTATGAAAGACAAAAGAGCTTTAGATTTAGAACAACAGTGTGTGCATTGTATATTGTATATTATAATTTAGTTATCCAACGAAGGTTAAAGTCAAGAGCAACTGGACTTGGCTTCATAGACATTATAATTTAGTATTATGAAAAATGTGTTCATGCTTCATTTTAGGATGTGTTTATGGCATTTTGAAAGCAGTGTTTCATTTTGAAGGACATATGAGGCGTTCTGCATTTTGTGTGAGCAGTTTTGGCAATTATTTGTAGAGTTTTGAAAAAAGGAGACAGTTTTGTGTGTGTAAGCAGTTATAAAAAACTGTACTAAAGAAAATCTCTTACAGGCAATGGAACTGGCCTGTGGTGAGATAGGTGTGGAGTGTTGTTGCTGTAAGGCTGCATCCAGCACACCAGAGGGTTTTCCTACTTGGCAAGGGACAAGGTTGCATGTGATTTGGCCGAACCCAGCACAAAGACGTGATGCTGAGGCAGAATGAATCTCTCAATGACTTTGATTTTGCGGCTGCACAACATTTTTAAGTGTAATAGGCTTTTCATTTAGAGTTTTTTTTGTTATTTGTGCTTACTATACTGTACTTTTAAGCAAGTGCTGAATATACAGATATTCAATACTTTATTACTTGCAGTACTTACAGTATACAGTACTTTTTAAAAATTGGAAAATGTGTTTCCTATATGCAAAAAAACATTTTCTGTAACTACATGCCTTGGACTCAATTTTTTGTGTCTAAAGAATGCTCTGTAGTGTTTTACATATTGACTGGCTGTGTATATGTTTTGAAAGCATTGTTTGATTTTGAGCACAGATCACACGGTTTTGAGGTGATTGTTTGATTTTGCCAGAAGAGTCAAGGGGTTTTGTGAATGTAGTTTAAAGACTGGGTTTTGTGTTTAAAGTTTTGAGAAAATGGTTTCCAGAAATGTGTCTTAGCAATTGTGAAAAACTGTAATGCATGCCACCCCTTTTTGTGAAAGATGTGCAAAAGGTGAGATAAAAAGAAATGTTTGACCCAAATAGCTACATTATGGTTTTCATAGGTTGTTACTGCCATGGGGTAACTCACATATTCATGTTCTCCTCTCTCACAGTATCCACTTCACCTCTCTGTTTCTTTCTATTGGTGTCTCCTTTGACCTTTCTCAGCACAGTGCAGCACAGTGTGTTGAAATCTGCATTTCACACTTATTATGCCCGACTCCTCTATACTAACAGATGGTTTCTCAAGCAATAATACAGGAAGTTTAGTATTACACTGACAGGAAGCAAACATAAGGAAACACAGGATATTTCTTTAAAAGCACACCATTTATTAGACAACTCAGATCAATTTTATTGTAGTTTTTTGTAGTGTAATTTTATTGTAGTGTACAATACATACATACATATATATATATATATATATATATATATATATTGTATGTATTGTAGTTTTGTTTGTATTAACCCAATTTTGTCCCAAAAAGTAAAAACAGCAGCTTTCTTTTATAATTATTATGTGAAATTAATGACTGAGTTTTGTTGGCATTTATTCCGGTGTTTGGAAAACAAAACAAAATATACCATATGTACACCTCAGCCATACTGAAAAGAAAATATCGTCAAATCAGCATGTTGGGACAATTAGGTTACAATTAGTGGACAATCAAGTGAGATTCTAAAAACACAGAAGAAACTACTCCCGATCCACTCCCTGCACCGAGTCCTGAAAAGCAAAAACCAGTTACCCAAACAGTTAAATACATATTGTCAGATAAGACATTTCTATCCTCTATAAACAAAATAAAATATTTTAGTATCCATGTTTGATCATATTTTCCTGCAGGAAAGCCAGAAAGAGCTGCTCACTTTAATGAAGCATATGGAGGACTGAATCGACCAGAAATGAATGCAATTATTATAATATAAATATGTATAATAATGAAACAAAATAAATAAAAATATAAATAAGATTCAGGAAACTATATGGCACTTAGTATAGAAAACATATTTCTGCCAGTACTATGCAATTGTCAAGATATGGCAGTCTATAATAGTAAGGAGAAATACATAAATATACTTTATATGGGATTTATATTATGCTTTGTATTTATTTGTATTTGTGTTTATATGTATTTATTTAATTTATATTCAGAGCCAATTCTGTCCTCCATAAAATCAAGACCATTTCTCTTTCTCGTTGTCTATCTTTCTCAAGTGCCTCACTGTTCTAAATTCATATTACTGAATGTGACCTTTTGTTTTGAAACTAGTAAGATTTTTGCCAATGTTACCAGTATTGCACAACAAATGGAAAATAAAACACGTAGAATTCATTTAAAAAATAAAGAAAAAAGTTCAGATATGTTTAAGCACAGATCAAAGGCAACAGCTTTCACCACCACCCCAGACATCCAGCTTACTTGTATTAAAACAACTTGCACAAGCATATTCTGGAAATGTGTTGATGCAGATTCTGATTTTTCAATTTCTGTCTATAATATGGTTTTGACACATATGTACAACACAGTTTAACACAGGAAATCGGATGGCTAATATTCTCTTTTTAAACTTCATTAAAACAACACAAAGACTAACAAAAATAATTCATATAGTATGAGTATGACTATAAATTTTCCCATATTTCTGGTACAGTCTAAGTGTTGAGGGATTTAAGAGGTTAGCCACTTTGTATAGTGACTTACAATGGCAAATGTTAAGATTAAAGTTTAAATTATAAATAAAGATTAGGATCACAAAATCATATGTAATATTAAATGCGAATTTGGTGATTTACTAATAGTAGTACACATACACTGCACCATTTGGCAGTAAAACTGTTCTACTTCGGGATGCAGGGGCAAATAAAATTAAAATTAAAATCCGTTATAACTGATGTGCTTCTTTCAGAGTATCTTTTGTTAAAAATTGGTAAAAACAGTGATCCTTTACTACAGTCTGTTTTAGTGCTTATAGCAGAAAGCAGGTGTCAAAAGAAAATAATGAATGTTTTATAGTGGATCCGGGACAAGAATAAGTGTATTTAACACATAGCAGTGTTTCTGTAATTCTGAACTGCAAGAGCCACTGCTATGTTTGTGTGAGTTGAATTGTGTGAGTTTTATTGTTGTGGGAACTAACTACAGTACTATGAAGAGGCATTCCCACCCCCCAAACAAGAGAGAATGTATGGCTAGAAAATTGTGAGGAAAGTACAATATTCATATCTTCAGTGTGTGAGCATGTTTCTTGCAAAGAGGTTTGTCTTTTTTGGAGAAGAAGGTCTGGCCTTCCAGAGTGGTGCAGCACACCTGAAGAAAAGCGCAAAAAGATACACACACACACACACACACACACAGAGAGAAAGGTTAGATACTTAAGTAAAGTTTTCCAGAATACTTTAAAACTCCTCATTGATATAATTCATTATCTCCTTAGAAATAGGTATATCTATTACATTTAATTAATTCTCTGAATCTGCTACTGACTGTGTAACAGTTACACTATTTTTAAAAAGAATGAATAAAACCTGTATCAGTGACTATTTCTGCAATATAACATACACTTAGACCAGAAATTGGCAATGATATATTCAGAAAAGATAACACATATGGGTTTAATTGGAGTTTGAATGTTTGTGTCTATGTAATCTGGGAGCTCATTTTTTCTCCTCAGAGCTGAAAGGCATGCGGGTCAGACGGATAGGAGTCCCTCAATTGATTAAACTGTGACAATGACTGTGATTGTGAAGCCTTCACTTACAGCACAAACAAAGCAGGTGTCATGCCAGGTGTAACCAAGGGCCTCCAGGAACTTGTCTCCAGCCTCAACGGGGAACTCACAGCCATGGCAGCCAGTCCCAAACAAACTGTAGAAGTCTTTTTGTAGACAAGGCAGCATGGCACGAAGTGAACAACCCATAGTTTACAATCACAATGGCAAGACCCAATCAAACTGTAGTAGTCTCCACAGAGATCACAATGGTCAGTGGTAGATAAACAGTGAGCCACAGAGAACAAAGTGCTTGTACTGCAAGGTTTAAATAAAACTCAAAGCCAGATTTTTTTCCCTTCATTGTTTAAACCTAAATAAAAGTCACTTCATAAAAGATAGCCACTTGTGTCTTTCCATTCACTGACTGTTGTGCCTTCTAGTCTGAGACATCATTCATCAACCCTACCAGCATGGTCAATGTGTCCAATCAGCACATTGTTCAGAGACATCATCACTCACCTTGTTCACAGTATGGTTCTCCATCTTCCAGGTGGAAGGTGTTGTTTTTGATTGGCCGCTGACAGCAAGCACACAGGAAGCAGTAGACATGCCACGTCTGTTTGAGGGCGTTTATCACCTCCTAAGTGCAAACAATGTGGTTAGTTGGTGGCATCACACAGTTCATTAGGAGCACTGGTCTCTGTGTGTGTTTCGGCCACAGTAACCGGAAAGTTAGATCCACTTTACCAGAAAGTGAAAGTGAAGAAGAAGTTGGGTCATTATTTATAACACTGCAGTACATGTAATTTGTCAGCTAAAATCAATGTATCTGTTTTACGTGTGTCAGTAAATCCATAGCTCTTTACATCCGTTTCTCATGTCACACTAAGTATTTTTTCTTGTGGGGCCACATGACCCAGCTTAAAATAGACAAACTGCTTTTTTTCCCACCCTTAAACTGTGAGAACAAGACAGGACAGGGAATCAACGGAAAAGTTTGGTGGGCCGGAGTAAGATGAAGGATTAGAGGAGAAGGAGTGAGAAAACCGGTTAATAAGAAGCGGTAAGCTGGTTGAAGATGTGTGAGAAATAAAGGGTTGAAAGGGATTGAGGCTAAAGAGGTTAGAACACGTGAGGGATGAATGTCAGAGCTGTTACGAGAGCAGAGATCTCAACTTTCTGACACTCTGGGTTCATGCTACACCTGCAGCCTCCAGGCCTCTAAGCCTAATTCTCTTAACACCTGAACATATACAGCATTCCTGAATATTAATGGTGGTCACTCATTAGCTTTCCCACATTGGGCCTCTATACATTTATCCTGTGTAGTTGGGACTACAGTTTGGCTGAAATGCAGCAATCTTTTGAGAAGTGACCCTTTGATTATGTCTACACCAGTACATTTTATGTCACTATATTATTTGGTCTCAATTTGATAACAGTATCTCTTTACTAAGAAAATAAACAAGTGCAAGAATGGAGAGTGGCCACGATAATTTGAGTTTACTTGACATTTATCCAGTCCTGGCAGCTTTAGAATTTAACTGTATCCATAGTGCTACTGCATAAGCTATGTACGTTGAGAAATAATGTTTTGGTTAAGGCTTGTGTGCAGAAACATCAGTTAAATTTTAAGTTTAAATGTTGGGTCAACCTCTAGTTTAACTCTCAATGAGAAGAAGGATGTTCAATTACAATCATCAAGAGCCAGAAAAACAGAAGAACATAAAAACATAAAGCAAATAAACTCAGATTGGTCTGACAGGTTTGCAGTTCAGTTTTGGGCTCCAAACAACAGGTGGTGGAGTTTTAAATCAACAGCCACACACAATGTCAAGGTCAGCTGCACAGTAAGTGAAAGGTACCGACTTAAAATCTTCAGACAAATGGCAAACATTGATGCTTTAGTCTGCTTTAGTTTGTTCATCTTTAGTCTTTTGCACTGCAGAAAATGCTCAAAATTAATGAATCTCTACTGTAGCAGTAGGCCTACATTCTGCTGAATAACCATCAGACAAGAGCAGCCAAACAACAATTTGCTAAGTGCAGTGCTACTGGGCCTTCACCTCAGCACACACAGACACTACTGCTCCATTTTACTTCACACCAACTCACCCCCAATATCTTTGCCTGACAGCGACTGCATGTTGGAGCGAAGAACTCTTCGTAGCAGTGTTCACAGTAGACAGATCCCTGTTCTTCCACAAAGCCTGTATCTGCCAGTGATGAACGGCAGTGGACACAGTTAAATTCCTCTTTGTGCCATGATTTCCCCATTGCTACCAAAAATGGCCCCCTGAAAAAAAGAGAAGCAGAGATAATATGATGGTTGGAAATCAACTTTTGATTTTACCCGAAGTAACAAAATACGTCATTTGCAAACATGAACCCAGCAAAGTATTTCTGCAAAGTACCACACAGATCTGCAGTACTGCTGATACGACAAACAGCTTCTGAAAGGCAAATACACAATCCACAAATGAATAAATGAATGATTGACAATTTGAGTAACTTCTACAAGTTGTCTCTTGGTAACTGAATACTGTGATTTACCTCTGATTTCATCTAGTTCATTCTAATATGATATTTATACAGTGTACAGTACATTGGTCATAATGTTTCACAGTTAAGACTAATAATAAAGAAAGTTTATGGACAATGTTTGTGGATGATTGTATGTGGGGGCAATCCAAAAAATTACATTTCCAGTTGACCTAATTCTATACAGAGACAAATTAACCTTCAATTAGTGCATACTTTAAGTAGTTTTGATATTGTAGCATAAATAGCCAATTTAAATGAATGATGATATCATTAGGCAATATGAATACATTTACAGTTATATTATAATGCAAATCGCAGAGTCAAACAGGATGATGTCAACATTATTAACTGTAATTTATATAGGATTTTCTATCTCAAAATTGCTTAAAAATTATAATATACAATCCATTAGTGAAAAACTTAGCAGCAGACAAACAGCAGACAAATTGCTCATGTCTCCTACGACAGGTCTGGACCACTTGTAAATTGAGAAAATTCTATATAAGTTTGTGTAAATCACTCGTACAAGCCACTTAAGAACAAATCTGTTGGTACAGGTGGTTGTTGCATGAGGCCCAAAGCTCGTTCTTTACGAATGCAAATAATTAATAGATTATCAAATTTCTATCTTTCCATATTCCAGGTCACTCAGTGTTGCTTTAGAAATAAGAAACACAGCTAAAAAAGCCTATGTGTCACTAAAGGAGTTACAGCGACCATCACCTCTGCATCCACTCAGACAGCACCCTGGCACTGTCCCCTCTGATGATTAGGTAAAGTGGGAAAACAACGGAGACTAATTTACTCCACACAATAGCTGTGCTTATCTGAGCTTATTCTGATAGTGTTCTGAGCTTGGCAGACATTAGCATGTGAGCTACCCTATCCTTAGCGACATGTAATGTAAGGTGACACATTTTGGGAGATAACACTCGGGTTAGGGCCAGTCAGCTACCTGGAAAAAGAGATGTAGACAGGAAAAAGGAAGAGGTAGAGAGCCCATAGGGATGTGCCCTTATATGCAACTCTGGCTGGACTTACAAAATGGTAATACAGTGACAAACGCTGTGTTTAAATGTTTTTAGTACAAATGTGTTACCCTTATCTACACTACAGTCAGATCTTTGTAGCTCTACAGTTTTATACACAGATTATTTACTCGAGGTGGTTTCATGTTAATTATTTTAAGTGCCTAACTGGGACTGAATAATTAAGACATGGACATATTTTCCTTTCCCATCTTACTTCGCTTGAGTACAAATGGATGTGCAGCCACGTCCGCCTGCATGCATGTCCACTGTTTTCTTTCACAATTTTAACTCTAAATGGGCCCAACAGCCACTTTGCTTTCTGATGACAGAGCTCATAGATTCTTCATTGATAATATATCCCTACTGCAGATTGCTACCAGGAATTATATTTGCAATGTACATTGATCATTATATACAATTCTCTGTTATTTGGGTAGCCTGGTTAATAAAAAGTATATATATAGTATATGCCCCTCACCTGATGACCATGTTACAGTGGGCACACATGGGCGTACGAGTCCCAGCAGGGATGTGTTCTGCCATCTGCACCAGGGTGTCCTCATCTTTAGGGTGGGGCTGAGGTACAGGTCGGGCTGGGACAGGACCCCTTGGGACACTGGCACTTCCATTACCCCTCATACCAAAAGATGGGGTGATCAATCCAGTCCGTGAACCGTGGCCTGTTGGAGATAAAGAAAGGAAGATAAAAGGAAGTATTGATTAAGAAATAGAGAGACAGATTTGGTAAAAGGAAAGAGGAACAAATGGAAAACAAAAAAGTGAGCACATATGGCATGACAAAGGATGTGCGTGCATGTGTTGTCTGAGTTTTTCTTCCCAGGTGTGTAAGTTATTTGACCTCTACCCTCTTCGTCTATACACCCAGCAGGTGTCATGGCGGTGCACGCAGGTGGCCGACTAATGTTGTCATAGCCTTGGATTCACCACATCAATCTGCACAGAATCTTTCACTCCACGTTCGACACATTCCTATGGCACATGTGCACATGTGTGCATGCATACACATGACAGAATACGCACACACACACACACACATACACACACAGACCACCAAGACATTTCCTCTGCTAAAACCCAGACACCTGGCTAAACATGTAGCTTGGCCTTTGATCTCCACCCTGTGGATGGAGATGTTTTTGTATGTATGTGCACGGTGAGGCAAGGGCAACTTTTGGAGCTTGGCTTTACCATAACATGTCATGTTTAAGTGTGTCTGTTTGGGCGAGGAATAGGGCTGGGTTTACATTTACAGTTTTTTCTGTCTGTATAATACTGTTAAAACCAGTAATATGTCAAAAAACAAACACAACAGATCATCAAAAGACATTTTTTTCACCACTGTAAGTACATCTGACATTGACAAAGAGTGAGTACAAAAAAAACATGCAGAAAGATTTGTTTCAGTACATTTTGCTATCACTATGATCATTTCCTTACAGTTTTTTCTGATTGCTTTATCAATATTTTCTTAAACTATTGGCTATTATTGAAAAGCTCTACACACTAACCACAAAACCTCACACCAAAAAAACAAAAAAACTACACATCTCTTGCAAAAGCAAACAGTTCTTGCAAAACTCTAGAAAGTCTTTTACAGTTTTTTTCTGAATGCTTACACTTAGAGTCATTCTTGAAGAGCTTTTTCTGCAACCATTAACACGTGTAGCCAAATAATTTAGTGTGCCAAACTGAATGTACGTTCTCTGCTTTACACTTACTTTGTAATTTTATAAAACAATTTTTGCAAAACTTTAAGTAACAGAATTACAGAATTAGATATACACAACGACACATGTGAAAACACTTTTTGATTTTTAGTTCACATACCAATCAGAGCTTGGGCACTACATGTAAATAGGCCACAGGTAAACATTTGGTTTGGCCTACAGTGGAGGCTTTAGAGGTGTGAGAATTAGAGGAGGAAGAGGACGGCATGGACAAGGAGGTGAAGAAAGAAGAGGAGGATGAGGAAGAGCACATGTCACATGTCAGAAATGAAGACATCATGCCAAAACCTTAAATAATATATAAAGCCTGTAGCAGAAGAAGTTCTGCCACAATAGCAGCTCAAAATCTATATTGAAACAGCTGATGAGCATTTCTGAATGAACATATCATTGAGACATTGAGAAATAGCTGATTTATTTTAATTTGGGCAAAATAGATCAACCACAGCTAATTCCAATCTCAACCAGAGACATAGGCAGGTGTCGAAGTTCTTTCAATTACATACACAATGCAGTAAAAAGGGGACACACGGAGGAGCAGAGGAATAGTTGGGCCAGGGAGAGGAAGAGGGCCATGGAGAGGAGTAGCTGAACCAGGGTAAGTGTTTCTATCCAGGTACATAGCGAGAGATGACATTAGATGTGATATGCATGAGAACATGTAGCAAAATTCTGAAGATCATATGGATTAGAACAGGACAGTGCTTTTTTGTTTCTTTCCCTTCTGTGCATTTTCTTGTTTCAATGTAATTGTGAATTTACATTTCCATTTGCTCACGCTTTCACATTTGAGGAACAACAAACAAGCATCAATTAAGCATCAATACAGTAAGAGGTACAAGTGACAATAAATATTATATAATATATCTAATTCTGTAATTCTGTTACTTACATTTTTTCCTACTGTACATTCTATAAAGTAAAGATGACTCATTCACTTTTACATAGTTTGTTACCAAAAATGCACACAGTGAAGCCAGAAATGTAGGGTGGTTTACAGTAAAAGAAAACTGAATTACAATATGCAATGGATTTCACATTGTCTACTGTATGCAGTAGAACTGTAACATGAAAAGTAATGCAGTTTTTGTAATGCCATCAACTGCTTGTGTTTAGAAAGGCCTTGTTCTATGATTGACTGATCTGCCTCTTGGAAAGAAAATGCGCTAGTGTTTTGACAGAATGATTTGATTTCGAGTCAGGTTTGCTGTGTTTTGATAGAGTTAGTGTATGTAGATAATTTTTTTTTTTTGCATTTTGAAATGTAGAGTAAGAACAAAATGTGGTTTTGAGCAGAAAATGTACTATTTGGCTAATTGTGTGAGATATGTGTTGCTGTGTTAAGACTTTCAATAAAGTATCTTAAGTTTAGGTAATCTCTCTAATATCATCTCTGGCTATGCACCTGGATAGAAACACTTACTGGTTCAGCTACTCCTCTCGCTGGCCCCCTTCTTCTCCCTGGCCCAACTATTCTTCTCCCTTTTTCGGACATTATACTTTCTTTCTCTCCTCTTCTGTGTGCTGTATCCACATTGGACAAACTCAACGCAACTCAACTTGAAATTGGAATTAGCTGTGGTTGATCTATTTTACCTAAATTCCAAAAAAATCAGCCATTTCTCAATCATATGTTTATTCAGAAATGCAGCTGTTTCAATATAGATTTTGAGCCACTGTAGCAGAAGTCGATGCTTTGTACATTATTTAAGGCTTTGTAAATTATTTAAGGTTTTGAAAATAATGTCTTCATTTCTGACATGTTTTGTGCTAGCATTTGTAAATAACATCCATAGTTTTGGTATTGGACTTGCTTGTACGTAAAGAAAAACTTAGCATTTTAGAAATGGGTAAATTGACTGCATATTCTGTGGTTCCTTAATTTCTTAAATGTAAGGAAAAGACAGTTTTAGGTCAAATCACCCAGTTTGATGTTTCAAACCATTAGCAAAGCTGCCATTAATCACACCAGTATGCACTTCATAGGGTTGTATGTTGAAGGTGAAGCTGCTTTAGGAATGAAGGGGAGCAGGAATGTGAAGGATACGGTCGACAGCATTAGTGTGTGTGTGTGTGTGTGTGTGTGTGTGTGGGTGTGTGTGTTTGTGTGTGTCTGTGTGTGTGTGTTTTCACAATTTAACACTATGCCAATTTGTTTTACAATGGGCATTTGCATCCAGGCAGTGGCTGAAGGCCTGGGTTCCTTAACTACAGCTCGGGATTCAAAATGGGTCACTGCTGCTAGGGCACTATACAGCTGGTAGTATATTTTCATGAGTCTGGGTCCCCAGGTAAGTGACTACATTTACGATTTGTGTTGAGTGGCTGTTACATCAGGGATAGAATTGGGAGGAGAGGAGGCGACTTGTGCTCACTGAATAAGTTGAAGAATAAGCTAGCTATTTCATGAATAAAAATTCACATATAAACAGAGCAGATATATATTCTTTTTTTTGGTATATAAGATAAACAGAATAATACCCATAAGACAGTTAATCTCAGAATGAATGGGCCGAGTGCAGATGGAGTACGGGCGTTATACTGCAGCTCTGTGGCTTGCCTTTAAAACTTTATCCATAACTCCTGACAGGTCCCTTCAGTAAATATTATCTTTCGAGCAGAGTAGAACTACTGCACGTGTGAATGAGCAAGGCGCCACAGGCAAAGCTTAATGGGCTTCCACAGAGGAAAAAGACGAGAAAAGAAACAGAAAGTCTGCAATGACCTATTTCACAACATGTGTCACGCTTAAACCATGGAAAATAAGCCTCTATCCCCTTGCCAACATTCAATCCAACAGCAGTAAATCAGATTTACATGTTTTAACTGTAGGGGGGGACATATTAATCAATCAAAATACATAAAAAAAGATTTAGTTCAATTCAATACAATTTCTAAATTTTGGCACCTATTTAACGGACACTACATTTTGAATATGCATGCATTAGCTGTGACACATGAAAACAGTTCGAGCACGTTAGCCTGATTATATTCCTCTTGTTACTTTGGTGAAAAAATACTGCAACATGCCTGTAGCAAAAGCAACTCACACACAGGCATACAGATATCCTTTTGTTGGAATTGGCAGCAGATTTAGGCAGTAATGTACTATTCCACAGATTTTATGCAGCATTTGGCTGGGTAAACAAAAATGTATTTTAGTCCCTGAAACCCATGTATTATGTACATATACTGTATTCTTTAATGTGTGTTCACAAAGGAGCAAATGTTATTTCAGTCAGTTAATAGGAGACATGCCAATTGTGGCTTGGTCCCACGTCCATAAATTATATTTTATACAGGGTGGAAAAATTACAGCTGGCAATAACTAGTGCTCATTGTGAATGTGTGAAAAAGTAAATGAAAAATCATTTTGGTGTGCTGTTATCACAAGTGGACAGGAGAGAACACACACACACACACACACACACACACACACACACACACACACACACACACAGTTTTTTACCCTGGTTTGCAGCAGGCCCTTTGATCATCGTCTTGACAACTGCAGACTCATGGCTGTTGAGTTCTGGCTCCTCTCCCTCCTCACTGTGCGGAGAGACACAATGGAAACACAAATCATATGTAAATCAATTAATATGTTTTGTAATGTTTTATAATGTTGAATGAACTCAATTAGCATTGCTTAAATTGCAAAATACATAGTTACTATTTGCTTCCCATTCATTCAGAGTGATGGGTCACACAGCAAGAGATTCTGGGTGATTCTGTTTCTGTGTGTACTGTATACCTATGTGTATTAGATTCTAGGTTATTTATTAAGATGTCATCCCCAGCAAAATACATTTAAGAGCCCACTGTACTCATAGCTCACAACAGGGAAAAAAAACCACTAGCACAGTCTAAGTTTTCAAGTTCCTGTCAAGAGAGTAAGACAGATTCCAGATCACCTACCTGCTGACAGAGCAGAGACAAATATGGTACCAACCAAAACACAGCACACATCTACAGCCAAAACAGTACAGTACTCAATGTCACGGTGCACGTCCTACTTGTGAGTACAGTGCGCACAAAAATGGTGCCCATGTGCCACTTTCACAGCAGAACAGAGTCCAGGGCACCAGCCTGATGATGGATAGGAGACCAGTAGGTCTGCACAGCTAACTAATGATATAGCACACCCATTCAAAACCAATGCCAGAATTTCAATTCAAATGATGTAACAGAGAGTAATTTACTCCAGTGGAGTGAAATATAGCATGGTGTAATGAACAAAAGTGCCCATTCCAGATGTACTGCAGACAGATGCCAGGCTACCAGTACTAATGATGGAGGGGAGACTAAGTGCTTATGGTACAGTACACAGTTTGACCATGTTCGTTTCACGTTATACAACTATTGTATTTCCAGGTAAACATGTTGTCATCTCCCTTTAAATTTCTAATGTCCCCGCTGAATGCACAACGTATGGTTCTGACCACTTCATTTAGGTTGTGAAGAGACAAACTGAATGGGTCCCCATGGTGGCATTGGCAGTCAATTTTAATTGGCCCCAAGAAATAAAACTATATTTCACATTTGGGTCAAAGGCTGAGTAATTTTAAGAGACTCTGCAGTAAAAGTTTGTGGTGATCACATAAAACGATGCCCGAACATTAATTCAAGTGACGAAATAGAGAATATGACTTCACAGGACCAGGGGTATTTCTCAGCTCTCTACACAAAATGCACGAGCTGAGCCCAGTGTAGTACTCTGATAGGTGTTCAGTTCATTTCCAGTTAACAGCGCTGTGGGACAGGGTGACACATTTTGTCTCTAAAGAAATATAAACATACATACAAACACGTAATATCCGTGTCACTGTTTTGAATACTGAGGCAACGAATTTTTTCGGAGGGCGATATATTCTTTTTGAGGTCACACATTCTCTCTCAGGTCAAAACATTCTCTTGCAGGACAAAACATGTGTTTCTGAGAAAAATACTCCCTCGTGATGCACACTTTTCCCTACTTGTTAAGGACTTTTTTTTATAGCGCAATGCTCTTATCAGGAAAAACATTGTGGCGGGTTTACTGTACATGTAGGGCAACATCTTTTTTCTTTCTCTGCGAAATATGTTTCTGGGAGATTTTTTACACTTCTCCATTAAGCCAACTTTAGTTATTTCATTTGGGTTTGTATTGATTGATTGTCTATTAATTATAACTGGCCATTAAACATCTGAAATCATGAACACGAAGAGCCATTATTACTGTCATCACTCAGATAATACATAAAAAACACAAACACATTTGGCAATACATATGTTAAGAAAGGTTTTGTGGTTTTCATTGGAATGAAGATATTTTGACAGAATCCAAATTGTTTTTGCAGCTTTGGTTTGAAAGCTTTAAAACTAATTTTCTGGTTAGCTTCCTGTCTTACAGAAAGATTCCAGAGCTTTTCCAGCTATCTTGGAGGAAGGGAGCACAGTGCCTCTGCTTTTCAATCAAATGTGGCCCCGGGGCCTCAAACCTGCCACTACCTTTTAAAATGATGCAAAATGAATAACCTCTCTATGGGTATGTGTGTATGTGTGTGTGTGTGTGTGTGTGTGTGTGTGTGTGTGTGCGCGCATGTCTTTTCAGTATGTGCACCAGCTGAGGAGCTTGGGTGGGCCGACACTCTGTCCCTAGACGTATTACACCCATAATGCATAGTTGTAGCCAGTGCCAACTTCACTGCTGTCTTCCCCTTGCGCCAGGCTGTTAAGGGACTCATGGGAGACAAGTGTTATGGCAACTGCAGTCATAGTTACATTGAGTTGTGCCTGGATATTTTGTGTGAGTGAAAAATAGTGAAAGTGAAGAACTGAGAGAGAGAGATAGAGTCAGACTAAGAGAGACTACGAGAGGTGAATTGACAGGCAGAGATAGACCGAAAGAAAGATAGAGGAAGAATGTCGAACTTGTGTTGTGTTGGAGTCACCTCAGTAGATGCTCTGTGCACCTCTGCCATGATATTTCTTGTGCACACACTTAATTTCAACACTTGTGACATCCGCAACATCAAATGGTCCCAACAGAACAGGGGGGTTTACCTTGGTAAACATGGTTTACCACCCAGGAATAGCTCTAAAATTTCTAAAAATTTTCTGAATGAATGTAACTGTGTACTAGTAATTGTAGGACATGTGGTCAAATGTACAACACACAAGAAGAAGGGAGGAGTCTTTAAATTTACCTAAATACATAGACAGCATTGATGGGAGATGAAAAGAGAGGGTCACCCTCTTCTGTGGCAGACTGATGCCAAGACACCCTTTGGTGTGAGAAGAAAAAATATCACATAAATAAGGAATAAGGCTTAGAGACCAATACATAAACACAAAGTGACAGAGATAGGTAGATGGGTGTCAAAAAAGGCATTCCCACCCTTGCCACATTTACATGTAACACTTAGTAGTTGTTATTGTCAAATACAAGGAAGATGACACTCAACGTGAATCTCCATTGAATGGATAAATGGTTAGAAAAGCCATCTGATTAATATACACACTGTTCTACAATAAGTGCAATGACAAGGATTGTGATAAATGCACCCAGCGGACTGCTGTGTTAGCATTGATTCCAGCTAATCAGCCTTTAGCCGATACAGTCCTAATCTAAGTACTCTCTATAGGAAAGAGACTGTCAGACTGCAGAGCATCTCTCTTCATTCTCATTATCTGCTTATCGGTTTGTACCCCATGTGTCTGACAGCAGGAGCCAGTGGATATGACGCACACTAACTTCTTACATCTAGGCAGAGACAAAACTGAACAAGTGCAGACAGCAGGGCAACAGTGCCAGCTAGCTGAAATTCCATTGCCATTTTTGTATTTAAAGTTTCTTTGAGTACCTTGAAAAGTGCTCTATAAATAAAATGTATTGTTCTTCCTCTTCCTCTTATTATTATTATTATTATTATTATTATTATGCATTAGACCCTATTTACATGTTTACTATGGTGTACAGTTTTGTAATGTATTTAATGTACTTTAATTTGCTCCAATATAACTGCATGTAAGTGAAATGAGTATCCAAAAATTATAATGTTATCAATCAGGTGGGATTAACTTCACAAGTCACAGCTGATTTTCCAGCTCTCTTTGTGAATGCTTCGTCCCCCCACCACTATGAGCAGTTAAATGCTATAAGTGATTAATTCTCAGTGTTTTCAGTTTGGGCCCTCTTAAAAATACCTACTAGAAATCCATTATGGCCAACCGTGGACAAAAGTAGGAGGTTTTTTGATAGCGGACTTTAGACAATAGGAAAAGAGAAAGGAGAGATGACATGCAAAGTCCCTCGTCAAACTGTGGTCTGTGTGATTACATGGTCGGCATGACACCAGGACGCCCCACAGATTGTGAAGGTGTCCACTATTTCAAAAGAAAAATTAAAGAAAAGTAAAAAAATGTAAACTTTATTTTGTGTAACTAATTTTTTTTCTTTCTTCTACGTTTCATCAGGTTGCATCCCCCTCACATTTCTCTTTGGACCGCTTGGGGGGTTCTGACCTGCAGGTTGGCGAACCACAACTATGAGGAACCATAAAGTTAGGAAAATTGTTGATTTAAGCAAGTAAATAAGTAACGTTTCTGGCTAATTAACCAAACTGAATCTTTTTTCTGTACATTGAAATAGAAACAAGAACACCATGTGGTGTCAACTTATTAAGCAGAATGGTCCTGTAAAGAACAGGAAAGACCCCATCCTCACCATGCCATTAAGCTATTACCCTCTGTGAGATTAAAGGCTGTAGGGCCATCTATTTCAATTATCTGGGCAAACAAGCTCACAACATTCATTCACATTAACTATGGTAATTGCCTAACAACAGGTGACAAGTAGAGCAGGAAATAAGATATTCCCCAGTCCTTCATTCGTTAGAGCCAATTACAGCACAGCTCGTTAATATTCTCCACCAATCAGGCCAATTACATGGGAACTTAATTGTATTCTGCAAGACTGTGATTGGTTGATTAATGGATTCACCGCTGTTTTGATTCAATAGTAGCCGGTTAGAGTGCTGACCATCTGGACGTACTGGGCCACATTGTTAACTGAAAGGATAATTAAAGAGGGATGGGAGGAAGGAGGGAGAGTTGAATATATTTATTTCTTTTGCAGCTGTCTTTCTTTTTATTATTCTACTTTTTTACATGAATACAGTGCAACCATGAACTTTATACTTATGTATCCTCCACCTGTTGGTGACCTCGCTCTGCATCTCTGTCATTGTTCCTGCGTTTATCTTATCTCTCTTTTCAGCACTGTATGCTGCCTAATAATGAGATGTCTTGTTTGCTTGTATTAAGCGATAATGAGGAAAAAGGGTACATTTCAGTCCTCCAACTGTTTACATATGTAAAGTAACCCCTTGTGTACTGTAACTCCAACAAGAACTTGCATTATGCATCTCATAAATGTGTTGGTTTTGTTTGAACATTGAACAAATGGTCCATTAACATAGCTGACTGCTGTCCAGCAGCACTCTCCACCACACAACAGATGGTCTATAATTCAGCACTCTGATATTGTTTGGATCACATTCAGTCTGCAC